AAATTCCATAACGGTCATCATATTTAGTGTATGATTTGAAAAGCTGGAATTTGTGGCTCCTCTTAGCTACGAGGAGAACGGTGAGGATGAGGGTGGTCAGCGGTTCGAGCCGCGTGGGTTACCTACGGGCGGGTTCGATGGACCTGTCCGTGATGCTGTTTTTAGAACACCGCATGAAGCTGCGAGGTAGCGACGCGAGTAATATTTTATGCATGCCAAACGATGATCATTTCTTGCGCTTTACCGCAAAATTTTTTGTTCTTAGAAAAAAATGCAGAAGAAAATTCATGCGTGTGATGTTACGTGTGGCACGGCAATTTTACCGCAGGTAAAACACCGGACCAGAATTTTTGCAATTTTCTGCAAAAAAACTTTCGAAATTTTGACACGATTACTGAAATACGCCGAAAAACACTTCCATTTTTTGGCATTAATTATAGTTTTCTGTGCAAACATTAAAGAGTGGAGGAATATAAAAACAAAATGGAATGGATAATTCTTTCTCATCAAGTACAGAGTTAATGAGTCATGAAAATGAAGAATAAAATAAGTTTATTTTTAATTTCTTCAGTGTAATTCTCTAGATTGTTGTATAAAACCATTCCATTTTGCTTTTATATTTCTCCACTCTTTAATGTTTGCACAGAAAATTATAATTAACCCTTTTGCACCGGGGTTCGGTTTAGCCCAATAAACATATCGACAGCCCAGCATTATGAGATAGTTGAAAAGGTCGACTTTTTTTTCGGATTGAGCTGACATTTTCGGCAATGAATAACGATTCTTAGTTAAACATTTTCTGAAAGTTTCATCAATGACGACTCAACGGTTGCGAAGATAATTATTTTTATAGAAGACGCTAAGCGAGTAGCGTTTATTCTCATTGAACATAGCGCTGTTGAACAAAAGTGATTGTTTCAAAGAAGCGACAAGGTCCTTCCAGATTCTTCATGATTTATAGCTGTTTTAGAACATGCTTGCTGAGTTTTACTCAATATAAGAGTTATTCAATATAAGAGAAAAAATGCTATTTTCATCGAATATTCAGTTTAGTTGGTATACGTCCAAATTTTCCTTGTTGGAAAATGATTAAGAGTTTATCAACAACCTTGTATGCTTGTAATCTACCAGAATAAAATTTGCTTCTTTTTCCTTATTTGGCACGTAAAGTTTATCTGAGAAAGTATCCTTTTCTGAAATATAGCTCGACACAGAGTACAACTTGGGTACTTGAAGCCAGCATAAAAGTCAGAGAGGGATAGTGAATTTTATTTCAGATCTATATAGATCGATATAAAAGATATGATCTTTAGTATACATTAAAGGGTCGAGGAATGCAAAACAAAATGGAATGGATAATTCTTTCGCGTCAAGTACAGAGTTAATGAGTCATGAAAATGAAGAATAAAATAAGTTTATTTTTAACTTCTTTAGTGTAATTCTCTAGATTGTTGTGTTAATAACGGCCGTTACTTGTCGAAAATTGCACAGAAAATTATAATTAAAATAAAAAGATGCAATCGGAAATAGCTGCAGTTAGTACATCTGATTGGATTTTGAAATCGTTGCCCTTTATCGATAATGATAACTACATTTCGGTAAAAAAGAAAACTGTTCAAAATTTTCATCTGTCTTTGGTTAGGCTTTATTAGCGTTTTACGGAAAAGAAACGCTTAGATCTTCCGAATCATCCAATCAAAGGGAGCTAAACTTGCTGAGTAATCCGGATTCAGTAAGACGCACCACTACACAAAACTCGAACTCTCTAGCTATCATGATTCTTGGGTTACAGAGATGACTCTACTATTTCAGAGTACTGTGCAAAAGACGTTTGTCTGTTTAAACGTCATGTATTCTCTTTTTCGTATGGTCGTTCGTACATAACATTTGGCACACAAGCGTAAAAACTTTTTACATCGTACTTTCCTATCTTCTACTTTCTTTTGTATGATCTTTACAACAAACGATGGCTTTTGCGCGTTCTCTTTGTTTCTATATGTTGGTTTCCTTCGGTTTTTCACGACGGTTGTCACGGATTCATTAGAACTGATTTCATGAAATAAACGAAATTCTCTTTGTGGAATGTGACCACATAGAGGTAGAAATATCTTTTTTGAATAGCCTTTTTGTATATTTCCTGCTTTAAGTGTTAGATAAGTTATACTCAGGAAAATTTCTCAATAGTAAACCAGCATGCCCATACACAATTGTATGAAACAATATCATTCTGTGATTAAAAAATATATCATTTAACGTCAGCCAGGCAAGATGGTTCAAAACATTTTGTCGTTTGGGGCCTCGTGTTGCACCGCTAACATGACATCGTGCTTTGTACTGAAAGGAAATCAATTTTTGATAATCTCTAGCTGTTATGTGGGGAAAATGAATTGCATCAGCGTAACAGATAACCGTTGAAATCAGTGTTTTACACAACGTATTTAACACATGTAATGAGAGTATACTTCTGACGAAACGTAATATACTCAAGGTTCTATTACATTTGACAATGATGTTATGAGTATGTGATGACCATGGAAGATTATATGATAGTATTATACCAAGGTGCTTATGCTGTATAACTTCGTCTACTGGTGCGCCATCAACAAGTATTCTATGATTGTTGTTGATTGCAAAGAAAGAGAATGTGATTAGGGATGGTTCAGTGTCAGTGCACTGATAACCGACGACACCGACACTGATGATCACTGTTACACTGAAATACTGACACTGGCAAACACTTGATACACTGACAATCACTGAAACACTGAATCACTGACCGTCACTGACCAGAATACCTGGGCAGAAGATCAAAAGACTTTCTGTGTCCATTACCATCATGAATCATGTGTATATTCCGTCGATGTTTTCTTTCTTTTTGCTGGCAGGCGTATAGGCGTACATGTAAACAATTCTCTTCTATCTAATGCACTAGTAGTTTGTTCTTCTTTTGCTTATTCTCTCTATGTCTCAACCATGTACGCTGAAATTCTTCTAACACTACTAGCTTTTAAGATTGTTTCGTCCATTAACTCATAACACTGACGGAACTGAATTCTTTTGGCAAGAGTATACGGCAAATTAATAAATGATTGCAACCTATTGAAAGTTCTTTCAGTACTGTGTGTTTAGCCTCGTATCTCATAGTCATCTGTTTTTTCAAAGCGCCGAAGTTGGTGAGGTTTCTCGCTGAATGACAAATAAAATGACGTTTCGGATAGGAATAATTAAGAAAAACTGTTTGACTCAGTGCAAAAATTCAGAAATCAATTCGTTAAGATACGATAAATCTAAGTAATTATATCCCAAACTACACGAAGAAGTTGGCATAGAAAACAGTAAGGAATTCTGTCGACATATTCGATAAAAATAAAAGGAAGATTAAGAAATAAACAGAGCTTTTCACTAGCTTTTCGATCAGTTTCTTTTAGTGGAGGAGACCTGTTTTGTTTATCACAATTTAAATATTTGAAAGTGTTGGGTTTTTCTTTCAATTCCATCACAGTTAATAAACGATTTCTCGTTATTGTTTTAAAAGGCAGATGGTTAAACTAGACATGATGTCCTCCATAAAATCCTGCATAAGATCTGGAGGCAAAGAAGTCACTAGATGAAACACAGAGAGGGAAGATAGAGGAGATGGTTGTGAAATTCCATATAAGCGTTTGTCCTGAGGAACATTTTCGATGTGTTGTAATTGCAAATCATGGCTGACACGTGTGCGAATCGAAACAGATAAATCGTCACAAATTTTTTTAAAATCTGCGAAATCAGTCAGGCAATATCTACAGCAATGACCGATACTGAAAGAAGTCATAAATCCTCCAATTTCGTGTGCTGATTTACAATCAGCGCATAAAGTGGTGAAAGTGGAATAGACTTTTTCAGGCACTCCAGAAATACGAATCTCAATCAGGGACGCCGCGAAGTATCAGAAGCAGGGAGGTGGTCCTCCGATTTCGGAGCACATCGAAAAATCTCAAAAATGAGAGTAAATATGTGCTTTGTCTAATAATTCCGAGTAAACATTTTTGCTTTTAGAAAGTTTTCCCATAAATCGTGTGTCGCTATTCGAATTTTGATGAATATTTGTTTTTTCTGAACTTTTACACTAAAGTGTCTACGCGGCTTAGCCAAACGTTACGGAGTTTCATTTTTTCGTCTTCTGTGCCCCTTATCTCGGCAAAGAAGCAGTGTTTATCAAGGAAATTTATACCAATGATGGATATTAGGGAGTTCTTGTACTAGAAATAATTTGAGCTTGATTGAACAAGCGGATGATGACAAATAAAATGACGTTTCGGATGGGAATAATTAAGAAAAACTGTTTGACCAAGTGCAAAAATTCAGAAATCAATGTTTGTTTCCTTCGGTTTTTCACGAAGATTGTCACGGATTCAGTAGAACCGATTTCATGAAATATACGACCCCTCAAAAAAATGGTCCGATCGAGCTCAGAATTTTACCACAGATACTTCAGATCCTATCTCAGGTTCGTTTTTTTAAAGGCGTTTTCGACTTCAACTTTCGGTGTGAGAGGGTTTTCAGAACGAAAAACCGGCTTTTTATATGGGATTTTCAGCATTTTTCGGATATCTCGAGAAGGGAAGAATATTTGTCGAAATGAAAAACATTGAACCTGATATAGGCTCGGACGTATCTATAGTACGTATTCTCTTTGTTGTTATAAGTGAAATAAATCTTAGCAGATTTGTTCACACTAAGGCTTCTCACATTATTCTTATTTTAATTGTTTATTCACTTCCAAAATACTTGAATTTAGAAAAAACATTTGCACAGGTGTTTTAGTGAACAGTCAGTCAACAATGATTGCAAAACAATACTGCGAGTGAAAATTGTGTGGAGTAATAGAAAGCTTACGCAAATATGGCCAACAAAGTGTGTAAGTGGGGAGGGGGAGGGACTGCTTTACAAATATACAATAGCATATGTTAAAATAATAATGAAAATAAAAAGTATTTTGGGTAATGTTGTTTGCTTATTCAATTATAAATCTTTAACTGTTGTGTAAGAATAATATAGTCAACCGTTTGATAAGGTGGCATCAGGCTCATCGCTTGACTCGAGCCACTGCTGGCTGTCGATCCATTTATATTATGAGTGTGAGAGCCACCTGCATTGATTGTTATGCTCGTACTGCCGCTAGAAATCGTATGAGAATGAGTTCCCGAGATGCTTCCGGCGCCAGCCACCACGTCCATAGAAAGAAATCCACTCCCGAAAGCCGCTGTCCCGGTCGAGCCACCGTGATTGTGGCCCGGGTCTGTGATGGTGTGGGAATGATTACCGTTAGTCAGTGTTACCAATGTTCCCGTGTCGTGAGTATGCGTAGGCATTTCACTAACAGTGAGAACGTGCGTACGACTACCACCCTCGTTAATACCGGCCACTTCTTGAGCGGTGCTGTTCAGGCCTAACGGAAATCGTCCACGAAAATCCGGCAAATTGAATGTGTAAACGCCGTCGCCTGTACCGTAGAGCGTACCAATAACAGAATACAGCTGTGAATAGGTTGAGCGAGAGATGGCTGAACCGTCACATCTTAACCACTTCGATGGAACACTCGTACCCGTGTACAACATCACCGTTCCAACAGGCAAACCATCGTCTAAATATATGATAAACAATAAAGTAACAATAAAACAGCAATAAAACTTTGCTGTTGTGGAGATAGCGGTATTGTAAGAAAAACTGACTCTCTGCCATTTTGAGATAATCCTTATAGAAAATGAAACATATAAGAAAATGTCTCCGAAGAAGTAAATTCCGCCATGAGATGCGTTTTGTTCACGTCATAACTTACTGTTTGTCAGCCATAGCGTTAAAACGACAGCCAGTCCAATGCCACACAGTAATAAACCACATAGTAAGCCAAATAGACAATTTTTGCACGACTGTGAACAAAAGCTAGTGCTATCA